AATTGAAAATGAATCTTGATGTGAATGGAAGGGGAGAGGGAGCTGGAAAGGGGAGGGTTGTGGGTGGGAGGGAAGTTATGGGGGGAGGAAGCCATTGTAATCCATAAGCTGTACTTTGGAAATTTATATTCATTAAATAAAAGTTAAAAAAAAGAAAATACAAGTGTTTCAAAGGAAGAAATTAAGAAGAAAATAAATCATAAAAATTTTAATATTTCAAAAATAAAGAGATACTGTAGGTAAAAGCACTGAGCACAGTGCCTGCTCCACAGTAAAACTTCTTTATGTACTTCTCTATGGTCTCATAAAAAATATACAGGAAAAATGTAATTATTTTAGGTAAAAAATGTTCAAACTTGATCGTATCTACTCCCACAGCAACTGTCAGAAGTCTATGTTATTTTGATTCACTGTTTACATGTCAGTTTCCTGAACTATACTGTGAACTTCTAAAATACAAAAGGCAAGACAATGTCTTAATATTCTCTGTATGTGTCCCAGTGCCCATCATTGTGCTAGGTATGTGGCAGGTGTCTCACAGAAGTTTGTTGAACTAAGGAATTAATTTATGAGAAAGGAGCCTAGAGAAGGAGATAGAAGCAAGTGTTACAAAATAAATAACTGATGGACAATGTTTCAAGAGTGGGCAGGAGGGAAGGGATTCAGTGTGAGGGGAAGGAATTAGTCTTGGAAAGGAAGAAGGTTAATAGTAAGTGGAATCCAATGTCTGCACCCAAGTGGCCGTCATCCCATTTCTTTTAGTGCTATGAACATAGCCAGACACGGAATATTTCCCAGTGATTACTAGTAAAGCAAGGACTGGGGAAAAAACATTTGTAACAGAAAAAAAAATCACACACACACACACACAAAAAGCCCAAGAGGGCTAGGATCTGATAAAAGGGAATATTAGTTTTTGAAGAGACAATTATAAAGTTTCCATGCAAGATTAATCTTTGCTACATAATACAGCATTGTGAATATGGAGCAGCTCCAACAGACAAGGGAAACTAGTTGCTAAAGGTCCCAAGTCACATAAACAAGAAAGTGATATTTATGCCACTACCTAGTAGTACGTTAAGAAATATTTCATCTTTTTTCTCTATCCAATGTTGTAGAAGGGAGAACAAAGCATGTATTGTTACTTCCTTTTAAACCTCAGTTAGTCATGGACTAAAACATTTGGAAAAGACCAAATTCCACAGTACTGTTATTTATGAATCAAGCAACAGCAACAACGTTCTAGGCACAAAGCTGGCCCTAGGGATACAGAGAAAAATGAGGCATGAGCCCTACCCTCAGAGAAATTACAATTTTTATTACCTCCACTTCAACTAATGGGAACTTGTCTGTAATCAAGTTAAAGCAGAAAGAAGGGAAACAGAAGATAAGGTCATTTTGAGGCTCTCATGGGGTTCAAGTACACTGAGCCCACTCTTGCATATAGCCAGCAATCTCCTGTTTGTGACTGCCCAGCGCTCCCAAATAACCTTCCCATTTTGGGCAAGTGCTCCCTTTCTTAGAGATTTGAAATGCATATATAAATAATGAGCAAAACAGAAACACCTGTGAACTTCTCCTGTGCAACTCTAAGGGAGGCAGGTGGGTGGATTGGCCCAGGAGTTATCTTAGCACCTTTATTTCTAGGCACTGGAAGATCTGTTTCTAATTTGGACCCTGTACAGGATGTGGTGTGTATTGCTAGAGGGAATTTTTTTTTCAACTTCTACAACTATTCCCTTTTTCCTCTCCATTCACCCCTCCAACTGCCAGGATTCCTGCAGAGAAGGATACTTCCATTAGAAAGATAGAAATCTCCGAAGCAATGCACACTTTTGCAGTGCAGGGTGGAAGAAAGCAAGACTTTTCAGGTTGTCCATGAGTGGATAAAGTCCTGGAACTTAAAAGACGTACCCTGGGCACATGCATCCGCAAAGTTTAAGACTCAGTGAAAAGATCCTGGAAGAAACAGCAGAAATCCTAGTATCATGCAAAAATAGTACCTAGCACATGCAATTAGAGGGAGGAATTCCAAAAGGAAGATGCAGACTGTCCCGGAAAAGGAATTGGTTATCAGCAATTTCCTAATGATGAGCTCAAGTACCTGTACTTGGTGTCGGCTCCAGGCATTATACTAGGGTTTTGCACAGTCAACCCACACTTGCTCTAACTTGAGATCACATCCATTATTATTTTAACTGTATGCATAATGATAGTAAGATTCAGAAGAGTAAAATAACTGTCTAAGATTACAAGGCCAAAACTCAAACACATATCTGTCTCATTGACTTTGCTTGTAACTACTATGGTCTTAGTAGGGAAATTGATAGCAGAATCCATCATCAGTCCTTTCTGATCTCTTGTGTCTGTATTGTTTGTGGTCGAAGTTACACAATATGATTTTTATTCCACACAATGCATCCATTACTCATTTAAAATGTGCTTTTATCCTTTCTTTTTTTTTATTTTAAAGATTTATTTATTTATTTGAAAGGCAGAGTTACAGAGAGGCGGATGTAAAGAGAGAGAGAGAGAGGTCTTCCATCCTATGGTTTGTTCCCCGGATGGCCACAATAGCCAAAGCTGCACAGATCTGAAGCCAGGAGCCAGGAGCCAGGAGCCAGAGCTATGCCAATCCAAAGCCAGGAGCTAGGAGTCTGCTCCGGGTCTCCCATGCGAGTGCAGGAGCCCAAGGACTTAAGCCATCCTCTACTGCTTTCCCAGGCCACAGCAAAGAGCCAGATCCAAAGCGGAGCGGCAGAGACTTGAATTGGCGCCCATATGGGATGCTGGCACTGCAGGCGGCAGCCCCACCTGCTAGGCCACAGACTGGCTCCCTTTTATCCTTTTATTTAAAATTTGTAAAACAACACCTGTCATAGTTTTGGAGATAAAAGACAAACTTAAAACTTTCAGCAAAAAACTAGAAACCTAGAACTGAAAAATATAATAACAAAAATGAAGGGCCGGGGCCTGCACTGTGCTGTAAGTGGGTTAAGCATCTGCCTGCAGTGCAGCATCCTATATGGAGCTTATTCATGTCCCGGCTGCTCCTTTTTGATCCAGCTCTCTGATATGGCCTGGGAAAGCAGTGGAAGATGGACCAAGTGCTTGGGCCCTTGGGAAACGTGGAAGAAGTTCATTGCTCCTGGCTCTGGATAGGCCCAGCTCCAGCCATTGTGGCCATCTGGGGAGTGAACCAGAGGATGGAAGACCTTTCTCTCTGTCTCTTCCCTCTCTCTGTCTGTAACTCTACCTCTCAAATAAAATCTTAAAAAAAAGGAAAAAAGAAAATTAAGTGCACAAATGAATGGGTTTAGCAGTAGTAAAGATAGAAAACATGGAGTAAAGACTATGCAAATACATAGAAGATTGAGCATGCATTTAAATGGAGTCTCAGAAGGAGAAAATAGGGCCCGACTTTGTGGCATAACTGGTTAAGCCACTCCTGCAACCCCTGAAACCCAAATGGGCGCCAGTTCAAGTCCCCGCAATTGCACTTCCTGTACAGCTCCCTGCTAATAAGCCTGGAAAGGCAGCAGAAGATGTAGCAAGTGCTTGGGCACCTGACACCCAATTAGGAGACTCAGAGGAAGCTCCTGGCTCCTGGTTTTGGTCTGGCCCAACCCTGGCCCTTGCAGCCATTTGGGGAGTGAACCAGAGATTGTCTTCTCTCTCTCTCTCTGTAACTGCTTTTCCAATAACTAAAATAAATCTTTAAGAGAAACGGAAGGGGCTTTGCATGACTTCATTGATGCTGAGATGTGTATTTACTCTTCACATTTTACCTTTTCTGAAATAAGGATCTATCACAATTGACAACATCTTACTTTTACTGAAGTTGGGCAGAAGTTATATCAATTATTATTGCCTGCGCATTTGTGAATATCAAAGGTGAAAATATGAAAACTCTCAGAAGAGAGGTCAATAGTTTGGAAAAAATTCCAAGAGACAATAGTGAAGCAATTTTTACCCCCAAGGAAACAAATGGTTGTCAGTAAGGGAGGAAGGATATCATTCAGACAAGTTTAACAATCTTTTCTGAGAAACGGCTAATAATAGGCAACCTGTACATAATTTCAAAGCCGGATTAAGAGTCCATCATTAATGGGTTTTAATTCCTATGTAGAATCTTTGAAGAATGCTATACACAGATGGTCATCAACAAGTGATTCAGAGCATTTGGATTCTTCATGAGAAGAGGTTTTAGAAATATTCACATAGATAATTTATTTTGTGTGTATTTTCCTTATTGAGTATTGTGATGATTAATTTTATATGCCAACTTGGTTGGCTATGGGACATCTTTGTGAGGGTGTTTGTAGATGAAATTTACATTTAAATCATTGGACTTTGAGTAAAACAAATTGCCCTCCACGATATAGTTGGTCCTCATCTGATCCACTAGTGGCCTAAATCAAAAAAGAGACTGACATTCCCCCAAGTAACGTGGTTCTCCAGCAGACTGTCTTCCCACTAGAATTTCTAGAATCTCCAGTCAGTCAGAATACCTACCAGATATTGAACTTGCCAAGCTTTCACAATCACATGGAACAATTATAATTATTTTCTGTGTAGAACTCTGACTTTACAGGTATGAATAGTGATATATAACACAATTTTGTCTGACTAAAACTTAAAATTTTATTTTTGTGACAAATACAAGATAAAAATTCTTGAGTGATGAGGGCATGTATTAATGTTTATTTAATTGGCTGTGGGTTTATTTCTTCTATTCTTGATTATGCCTAATCTAATTATGCCTAATCTAATGCCTCAGTTTTGTTCACATGGCCATGTTGATATAAAAATTTAATTCAAGCATGTATTAATTTTATAATATTTAGTAATTACTTACTAGATGCCACCTTCTATTAAGGTCAGCTTAATGGTAAATAAGCCATACAATCTAGTTGGAATATTTCTGAGAAAGTTTTCACTTTCTTAAGAAGATACCACTAGGGAAAATTTGTACTTACTTTTTCTTGCTTTGATTGTAGGTGACCAGAAAGAGAATTGCAGAGAAAACATTTCTGATCATGGCTGAGCTGCTAAAGAAACATGGACAATTGACTATCTCTATAGGTTTCTAGTAATGTGGGAAGTAAGTTCTTGCTTCTTAAGCTATTATAATTGGGTATGATCTTCATTGCATTATAAAACCTTTCTGACTGATACAACATGTGCAAACCATCAGGAACTGGATATTTCCCTATGACTTTATGAAGTTCTTATAATAATAGTTAATAATAGTGCAGACAGTTTTTACATTATGCATGAGGTAAATTGGAGTCAAGATATGTTACTTTACTGCTTTCAACAACTGAAATAGAACTAAAGGACCAAAATTTCAATTGACCATATTTAGATTCATCATAAATTAGGACTTCCTAAAAACTGTAATATTCTACTAGTGGTATGTACTGTCTTGGAGGGATCAGTTTTTATTCAGGGTAATTCTCAAGAACAGATGGGAACACCAAGTAAGGGATTCCAGTTCTGTATGTTAAGTTAGAAGAGAAAGAGAGAAACTCCTAGTATTTCTCCTTACCCTAAGATTCTAACACCAGTTTTCAAAAATGACGGGCCATGATATTTTGATTATAATAAGAAAACATATAAAGCTGCTCCCTGTTTCTGGCAGTTCCAAAACCCTTAGGATTTCCTTAGTGATAAGAGTTGTAGAACTCTTTCAAACACACCTGAGTTTACACTAATGAAGTGACTTTTGGAAAGCCCCCAGATAGCCACAGAATGGGGGCTTGTTGCCAGGGGAGCCAACCACATGAATGGAAGGGAGGGTAGAGGGCCTTTGATTTTATCATCAATGGCTAATTATGTAATTAATCATGCCTATGTGACAATGATTCCAGAAAAACTGAGAAGACTGGAGTTTGGAAAACTTTCAGGTGGAAAACATGCAGATGTGCTGGGCGAGCGGTTCTCCTTGGTAAGATGTGAGAGCACAGTGCCTTTCCCTTATAATTTGCCCTGTGCCCCTCTTCTATTTGGCTGTTTATTAATTGTATTCTTTATAATAAACAGGTAAACAAAAGCATTTCCTTGTATTTTGTGAGCCATGGTAGCAAATTATTAAACATGAGGAAGAAGTCATGGGAACCCCCAAACTGTGAACAAGTTGGACATCTATATAGATAGGTCAGTGGCCCACAATTTGACATTGGTGGCTGAAGTAGGGAGCAGAGTTATGACACTGAGCTCTTAGCCTGTGGGATATGCACTAAGCCTAGATGGTATCACACTTGAATTGTATTAATCCAGTTGGCAACTGGAGAGCTGGAGAATTGGTCCATGTGGAAATTCTCCTATATATGCAAATATCTGAGGTCAGAAATGAAGTACTGAGAGTATAATGAAGTGCTGTGTATTTAAATTAGAAAGAGATGCAAGTTCTTTCAGAAAGAAATGCAAGTTCTTTCAGAGGAGAAAGCAAAGTTTCCTTTATAGAGGCAAAATCAAAATGGCATTAAATACAAAACTTTAAAACTCTTAAATCCAAATTTAAACTATCAGTCACTGGCTGACATTACACAGGACAGTTACAGATAACAGTAATTTCACTGGATTCTCATAAAAATGAAACATTTTGATGCTGGCCTTGTGGAACAGCAGGTTACACTGAAAATTCAAGTCCCATCTACTCCCAGTACCTGCTAATGTGCCTGGGAAGGCAGCAGAGGATGGCCCTAGTGCTTTGGGTTCCTGAACCCACTAGGAGACCTGGATAGAATTCCAGGGCTCCTGCCTTTGGCCTGTTCCAGCCATGGTCACTGTGGCCATTTGGAGAGTGAACCAAAGCATAAAGAACTCTCTCTCTCTTTTAACTCTGCATTTTTTCTTTTTTATTTCTTTAAATTTTATTTAAGTTATATAAGATTCATGTAGTTCATGAATACATGATTTAGGAACATAGTGATACAGATTTAGGAACATAGTGATACTTCCCACTCTAATCTCCCTCCCACCCATGCTCCAACCTTTCTTCTTCCTTCTTTCATTCCCACTTTTAAATTTTACAGAGATCTACTTTCAATTCACTTAATGATCATAAAGAGAGTTCAACAAATAGTATGAAGGAAAAAAAAAAAAAACCTGTTCCTCAACAAAAGAGACAAGGACTGTAAACAATCATCAAATCTCAAAATGTCAATTTCACCCCAATACATTACATTTTAGGTACTCTATTAGTTACCGCAGATCAGGGAAAACTTATGATATCTGTATTTTGGGGACTGGCTTATTTCACTAAGTATAATGGTTTCTAGTTGCCTCCATTTTGTTGAAAAAGACAGGAATTCATTCTTTTTTTTACAGCTGAGTAGTACTCCATAGTGTATATATACCTTAATTTCTTTATCCAGTCAACAATTGATGGTCATCTGGGTTGATTCCATATCTTAGCTATTGTGATTTTGATTTATGTTTCCCTGATGACTAGTGATCTTGAGCATTTTTTCAAGTGTTTGTTGGCCATTTGAATTTCCTCTTGAAAAGTGCCTATTCAATTCCTTTGTACATTTCTTAACTGGATTGTTTGCTTTGTTGTTCAATTTCTTCAGTTATTTATAGAATCTGGATGTAAACCTTTTATCAGTTGTGTACATTGCAAATATTTTCTCCCATTCTGTCAGTTACCTCTTCACTTTGCTGAATGTTTCTTTTGCAGTACAGAAGTTTCTCAGCTTGAAATAATCCCATTTGTCAATTTTGGTTTTGATTGCCTGTGCTTCTGGGGTCTTTTTCCAAAAAGCCTTTGACTATGCCAATGGCGTGGAGAGTTGCCCTAACGTTTTCTAGTAATTTAATCATACCAGGTCATAGATTTAGGTCTTTGATCCATTTTGAGTGGATTTTTCTATAAGGAGTAAGGTAGGGGTCTAGTGTCATACTTATGCACGTGGAGATCCAATTTTCCCAGGACCATTTGTTGAAGAGATTGTCCTTGCTCCAGGGATTGATTTTAGCTCTTTTTGTCAAAGATAAGTTGGCTGTAGATGCATGATTTCTAGAGTTTCTATTCTTTTTTTTAAAGATTTTATTTATTTATTTGAGAGGCAGAGTTACAGACAGTGAGAGGGAGAGACAGAGAGATAGGTCTTCCTTCCATTGGTTCACTTCCCAAATGACCGTAATGGCTAGAGCTGCACCCATCCGAAGCCAGGAGCCAGGTGATTCTTCTTGGTCTCCCATGTGGGTGCAGAGGCCCACTGCTTTCAGAGGCCACAGCAGAGAGCTTGATTGGAAGAGGAGCAGCTGGGACTAGAACTGGTGCCCTATGGGATGCCAGTGCCACAGGTGGAGGATTAACCCACTACACCACGGCACCAGCCCCAATTTCTATTCTGTTACATTGGTCTACACATCTGTTTCTATGCCAGTACCAGGCTATTTTGATAACTCTCCTGTAGTATATTTTGAAATCTGATAGTGTGATGCATCCAATTTTTTCTTTTTACATTTTAAGCTTTTATTCAATGAGAGAAATGCATAGAAGGGGAGGGCCCTATCTAAAAGAGAGATAAATCAGGATTCATACTGAGTACTAGGAGCCAGCCTCGTGTAGGAGCATTCAGGCCAGGAAGCATGGGGCGGGTGGCCTGAAGGCCATGCACCCTAGAGGTGCAGGGCAGCATGGGCCCAAATGGCAAAAGGCCAAAGAAAGGGAAAAGGGCCAAAAGGGCTGGGCACACCATGTCCCAGGCTTTTAATCGACTTACAATGGGGAATGGTTAATTAACCTGATTGGCTAGTTGGGCACACAGATGTGGCCAGGTAGGGGCATGAGGTAACAAAGGGGCGTGGTGAAGGCATGGTCTTCCAGATCACAAACCTGATCAATTTTATCCTGTATGCCTGCCTACATCCTTCCCCCCTCAGAGACTCCATTCCCTTAACCCTAAGGGATGTTGAAGAGCATAGAATCATCCATCTCTGTAGCTACTTTCTGCTTATGAGGGGCATAGTGCAGGCCCTGCCTATCTGGGGTCTGGAAGTCTGTCTATCTTATCTAACAAATTCACTTTGTTAGCCAGAGCAGTCTCAGTCACTGCCAATGTCTGTGTCCCCTGGATGGTCAGTTACTCCCAAAAGTCGAGTTCTGAAACATGTAAGTTTGTTAATTAGCAAAGGCAAAACTGGCACAAAACACAATTGTAAGTGCCCAATTTGTTTTTATTGTAAAATATTGTTTTAGCTATTGAGGGTCTCTTGTGTTTCCATACGAATTTTAGCATTTTTTTTTTAGATCTGAGAAGAATGTCCTTGGTATTTTGATCAGGATCACATTGAATCTGTACGTTGCTTTCAGTATTATGTACATTTTGATGATGTCAATTCTTCCAATCCATGAACATGGGAGATTTTTCCATTTTTAAATGTATTTTTCTACTATTTATTTCTTTAATGTTTTGTTATTTTCATTAATCAGCTCCTTGACATCCTTGGTTAAATTTATTTTGTTTATTTCTTCTCTAATTATTAAATTTAATTCTTTGTGAATGGTATTAATCTTGAAGTGGTTCCACTTAAAATGCCACAGGAGGAATAGAGATCAGAGAATCTGTACATTTCCCTCGGAGAATATAATGGAAAAGGTTACAAAAGAAAAAAAAAGTTCTTTCTTAGGCATGGCATTGTCTGTGTATACAAAGATTATTGATTTTTGTGTGTTGATTTTTACATACATCCTGCCTCTTTACCAAACTCTTTAATGAGTTCCAATAGTCTCTGAGTGGAGTCTTTTGGATCCCCTATATATAGAATCATGTTACCTGCAAATAGGGATAGTTTGACTTCTTCCTTTCCAATTTGTATCCCTTTGATATTTTTTTCTTGCCTAATGGTTCTGGCTAAAACTTTCATGACTATATCAAATAGCAATGGTGAGAGTGGGCATCCTTGTCTGACTCTGGATCCTAGGGGGAATGCTTCCAGCTTTGGAATGCTGGGTATGCTTTTGTCATAAATTCCCTTAATTGTGTTGAGCAATGTTCCTTCTACACCCAATTTGCTTAAGGTTTTCATCATGAAAGAATGTTGTATTTTATCAAATGCTTTCTCTCCAGCTATTGAGATAACCACATTAAGTTTGTTCTTCAGTTTGTTAATGTGATGTATCACATTTATTAATTTGCAAATGTTGAACCACTCCTGCATGCCAAAAATAAATCCCACTTGGTCTGAGTGAATGATCTTTCTGATGTGCTGTTGGATTTGATTAGCTAACATTTTGTTGAGGATTTTTGCATCTATGTTCATCAAGGGTATTGGTGCAAAGTTATCTGTTAAAGTTCTTTTTCATCTCCGATTTTATTTTATTTTATTTCTTTCGGTTAGTTGGGCCAATGGTGTATCAATTTTGCTTACTGTTTTTGGAAAAGCAGATCTTAATTTCACTGATCTTATGTTGTATTTTGGTTTCAACTTTGTTTATTTCTTCTCTAATTTTAATTATTTATTTCCTCCTACTAATTTGGGGTTAGGTTTGTTTTTGTTTTTCTTGGTCCTTGAGATGCATCAATAGCTCATTTATTTGGTACCTTTCTAATTTTTTCATGTGGGCATCAATTGCCAAAAACTTCTCTCTTAACAGTGCTTTTGTTGTATTCCACAAGTTTAGAAATGAGGTATTATCATCATTGATTTACAGAAATTTTATTTCTCTTTTTATTTCTTCTATGACTCACTGTTCATTCAGGAGCATGTTTTTTAAGTCTCCATGTGTTTATTTTGATCTAGAGATTCTTGAGTTGTTGATTTCTAGCTTCATTTCATTGTGATCAAAGGAGATGGATGGTATGATTTCATTTTTTTTTTTTAAATTTGCTGAGACTCGCTTTATGGCCTAGCATATGGTATATCCTTGAGTAAGTTTCATGCACTGATGAGAAGAATGTGTATTCTGCCACTGTAGGGTGAAAGGTTCTGTAGACATCTGTTAGGTACATTTGGTCTATAGTGTCAATTAGCTTTGTAATTTCTTTGCTAATTTTCTGTTTGGTTGATCTGTCCATTGCTGAAAGTGAGGTATTAAAGTTCCCATTACTACTCTATTGGAGTCTACGTCTCCTTTTAGATCCATTAACATTACATTTAAACTTCCAGGCAACTTGTAATTTGGTGCTTATACATTTATTATAGCCACAAATTCCTGTTGAATTGATCACTTAATCACTACATAGTGCTCTTCTTCATCTCTTTTAACAGTTTTTTTTTTACAGGCAGAGTGGACAGTGAGGGAGAGAGACAGAGAGAAAGGTCTTCCTTTTGCCGTTGGTTCACCCTCCAATGGCCGCCGCGGCTGGCGCACCGCGCTGATCCGATGGCAGGAGCCAGGTACTTATCCTGGTCTCCCATGGGGTGCAGGGCCCAAGTACTCGGGCCATCCCCCACTGCACTCCCTGGCCACAGCAGAGAGCTGGTCTGGAAGAGGGGCAACCAGGACAGAATCCGGCGCCCCGACCGGGACTAGAACCCAGTGTGCCGGCGCCGCAAGGCAGAGGATTAGCCTAGTGAGCTGCGGCGCCGGCCTCTTTTAACAGTTTTTGAATTAAAGTCTATTTTGTCTGATATTAGGATGGCTACACCTTCCCATTTCACTTTCCATTAGCATTATAAATCTGCATT